GTCGATAAAGGGATAAAGAGAAGGCTGCACAAATAAGGCTGCATCATGTCCCACGAAACCAAACGGGAAAGCTTACCTAGTAAACAAATGCCCGATGAAGTGGGATGTATCGACCAAAAGGCTCAAATATCGCAGGTGTGCTGTAAACAGGCACAGCTCAATTACAGCCTTTGGATGAACAAAGATGAAGAAGCAGATTAAAATGAAAAAGGAAAAAAGAAGAAAATTATTTCCAAACTACTATTGTATAATTTTTTTTTTAACACCTTTCACTTGTACTCATTGATGCAGGTACGTCTACAAGCGGCTGAGATTTCTAGGCAGTAAGACGCTGTCCCAGCTGTTGACTTTGTTCTACTTGGCGTTATGGCATGGTCTGCTGTCAGGCTACTACATGTGTTTCTTCCTAGAGCTGGTGCTCACAAATGCAGAGCTTCAGGTGGGCATCAGGTCTTGTTGTACACATTGGCAATGTAAAGGGTAAGCCTTGAGGCCACTAGTGTCACCCCCTTCCATACCCCCCCCCCCCCCCCCCCAAAAAGAAAGAGAAAAAAACACCAAATCTCCCTGCATTGAATTATTTATGATGAGGAAATTGATGGCCTTTGGAAGAACATGTTACCATTTGAATATTTACAAAGTACATTTACTAATGGGAGTCGCCGTGGCCAAGCGGCTAGAAGCTCACCGCAGATCCGAAGGTCGTGGGTTCGCTCCCTGGCGGAGCCGGACTATTTTCAAAAATGACCTTGGCACCCAGGTCGACCCAGCCTTGAGTGATTACCGGGTGCAGTCCCGGTGAGTAAAGGCAGCCGGCGTGATGCTGACCACATCACCCATCTTGTGCCCATTGGTCTATAAAAATATAGGTCTAGCCCTATATGCCCTATACGCCTAAAGGCGTGGAAAAGGGTCCTTTACTTTATTTTTACATTAACTCATGAAACTTTGGATTCTGCTCACAAAGTATACACATCATGTCTTTCTTGGGACATAATGAGTTCAGGTTTTATGAGTGTTGACAAGAGTTTTATGGTGCACACGACTGCACAGGTGGGCTCACAACACGTTAACACCTGCGGGTAAAAATAAATATATAATGTAATAACTTGGTTTTAGTATTTCCATAATGAACCACAGGTGGTGTGCTCTTATTTTAATAAGAAGAGGTGGCGCAGTGGCTAGAAAGCTTGCTTGGCCACCATCTGGAGGGTTTTGTGTTTGAATCCTCTTGTTTGTGAGGATTGTCCCTGGGTGGGATCTGTGGTCCTATTTTGTGGGGGGGGGGGGGGGGGGGGGGGGGGGGGGGGGGGGGGGGGGGGGGGGGGGTATCCACTACCCATGACATGAATGTATGAAACAGCGACTGCTTATCTCTACTGGACAGTTTTTAGATCAAATTTTCAAATAAGACAAGACCAAGCAAGACAATGTTTCCAATTTTATTAAAAAACTCAGCTGGAACTACATCAGCCATGCACTCAGAATTGATAAGACAGGACCTCCACATCAAGCCCTTTTATGGAAACCAGAATAGAACAATACGAGGAAGACCAAGAGAGACTACATAAAACCATTTTCATGCAAGGCTCAGCTGAACAACTAACAAACATCCAAGACCTAAACCAGGTGGCAACAAACTGCCAGACGTGGAGAGCTATGACCTCTGCCCTATGTGCCGCCCTAGGCTCAAAAGAAAAGACAAACTGATTAAAGTTTGAGGGTTTTCTTTGAGTTCAGAGTGCATCTGCCGGAGACTTTTCTGGATTTTGGCATTAGCTGTGCTAAGGGACCAGAATCTAGGCAGCCTAACAGATTTGTCACAATGCAATTTGCTTTTAATGTACAGTATAAACAATTGTATTATTATTTGTGTGTGTGTGTAAATTGTCTCAAGCTTATATTTATTCTAATTTATTGTAGCCTATTTCCTTGTGTAGTAGGTTTTTTGCAGAACATCGCTCTCATCACTGTCTGCCTGAAAGAAATACGGTTTCTTGCCAGCTCTCCCACCTCGTGTACTTTCATGTTCAAGAGTCACTTATATCCTGTGCCCATCTTCATGTTGGCCGACCCTTCCATCCTGGCACCATGTCTTCTGCTATTTTTTCCCCCCAATCTGCCATAGTGCTTGATATGACCAAAATATTTGAGCTTCCTAGACAAGATCCTGTTTTTTAAGCCAACCATCCTTGATGTTCGGATCTCAAAATGTCACTGTTGCTTCTCTTCTTTGTCCTTGGTATTTTGAGAGACTTTCTAGAGCGTTTCAGCTCAGAAGCCCCTGTTTACGTTCAGTAAAACAATCTATACGATATGTATCAACGTCCACCCATTATTAATTTATATATTTTAAGCTTTTCTGAGGTTGACTGGTGTAATCTGAAATGATAGGGCCTTGAGGCTTTGCATAGCTTAGAGCCTTATCTAGTCTAAATCTGACGTGAGAGGTGAGGAACCAACAGTCTGCATAGCCAGATCTGTAAAACAGACAAGCACACAGAGTTCAGGTTCTGGGACAAGACCAAAGTCCAGAAGTGGATGAACAGCCAGAAGTTTCCACTGGAGTTTACCGTTGGTTAACACTAAGGTAAAGAAGAAGAAGACTAAACCTAAAATGGGTACAAGGATTGAAAGTGCAATTTCTGGAAAATATTCTTTTTCATTCATGTTCACCAGCTGTAAACTCCAATGGAAAGTTCTATTTGTTCGTCCACCTCCGGACTTAAGTCTCATTCTTGAACCTGAGTGTTGCATGCACATCTGTTTTACAGATCATACCTTTGTGTGTGCAGACTGTTGTTTCCTTGCCTCTCAGGCAGATGCACTGTGACTTTGAAAGAAGCCCCTGCCCAGTTAGTAGACTCCCACAGCTTGTTGAAAAGGCAGGGGGTCTATTCTTGTTTTCCCCCCCACACTGGGACCCCAAAACCCACACAGGGATCTGGAAGAGTTGGCTGACAAACTTTGTGTTGTCCACTATGTTAAAGTGATGGTCTTATTTTGAAAACTGACAGCAAGAAAACTCAAGGATTAGCTGTGCATGCAGAAGTTCACTGCTTTTGTTGTGAAGAAGTAGTTTGTGGAAGGTACCTAGCTTCAAGAAGCAATGATGGAGATAGATCTTCTGCTTGCCATCAACAACCAGTTTGTTTATTCTGCGTTAGTTTGTGGAATGGGTGCCACAACCCTCAAGTGGATACAAGACATTGAAGATACATTGGTTACGAGAGCACTGGAGACTTGGCTAGAGAAAGAGAGACTTTCAGGCGTGCCGTGACGAAAGCAACGTTCTATAGAGCACCTGCTGATGAATGAATGATGATGATGATA